TTCAATTCCAGGTGGGCCTTGGCCTTCCTCGTCGCATCCCTGCATGCTCTGACCACGTTCCTGTACTCTTCCCAAGTGGCCTGTCCCTCTTTCCACATTCCATGGACCTTTCTCTTCCACCTGATCTCTGCTAGAAGCTCCTTGTTTAACCATGCAGGTCTCCTGCCTCCTTTGCTAGATTTCTTTCTCAGGGGGATGCACCGCTCCTGAGCATGGAGGAAGTGTCGTTTAAAGAGCAACCAGCACTCTTGGACCCCCCTGCCTTCGAGAGCCCTGGCCCAAGGGATTCCTCCCAGTAGTTCCTTGAAGATGGCAATGTTAGCCCTCCTGAGGTCCAGGGTTTTGATCCTGCTTATCGCCCTGCTTCCTCCACACAGGATCCTGAAGACGACCATTTCATGGTCCCATATTTCACCAGTAGATGCTTTGGAGGCAGATGCTGTTCCATTCCAACTAATTTCTCTGGTCTATCAGCGACTTCCCACTGTCTTCATATATTAAGAATCTTAAAGACAATGAGGCTCTGAAGTGGTATGAAATATGTTTTTAAGTAGTAGGATAGCTGTAAACATTTTTATTTGCCTAGCACTCCCTCAGTCTTGTTCCTGGTACGCACTGGACTTGGTTTGTCTTAGGTCCCAGTTCTACAGGGAATTTAAGTAGAGTCTATGTGCTCTGCTGAGTTATGCTTGTCTTTGCTTAGGATATTGCTCCCACCCACGCCCCCAGATCGCTTAACTCTGAGTTTATAATATTTTTGTTATCTTTGGAAACAAGGCCTGAAACTTTAGAGGCTAATGATAAAAATTCTGTTATTGCAACAGATATGAAGAAATGGCACGATAGCTAAGAATCTTTAAGTTTATTCTTTGTACTATCGATTTATTTAATAATAAAGTGATGCTTTGAATTAAGTAACAGCTATTTTTTATTATGAAGCCACTACAACAATGTCTTAAGGATAACAGATTTAGTTTTGTTCTCACAATAAACATTTTGGCTGTTTTTCAACAGAATATTGATGTAGTAGCCAAGTGGCTAGGAACTTTGGAAAAACTCCTCGAGCAATACAGTGAAGAAAATCATCATGATATCCATGTCTTTATTAGTGCTTAACAAGCTGCAGACCCAGAAGAGCACATCATTCCTCAAGGAATACTAGAAAACTCAATTAAAATTACCAATGAACCTCCTACAGGGATGCTGGCTAATTTACATGCTGCTCTCTACAGTTTTGACCAGATAAGACATAATCTTTTTTTTTTTTTTTTTATTTTTTTTTAATTTATTTGGTTTAATTACTCCATCCCCCATGGGGACAAATGGTAATGTTGATGACCACTTTGTAAGAGAGCAGAACTTTGGGATCTTTGTGCTTCCAAACAAACCTGATAGCTGCGGGATGCCAGCCCTTCGTGCCCTGCGCTGCCTCCGTGTTTCCCATCGACGTTGGGCAGGAGGAAACACATGAGAATAATGTGTACACTTGTATTATTAAATATCTTGCTTGGTGCAAGTCAACTTCCCCACAGCTGTGAAAGCGCTCGAGCAGCAAACTTACTCATGTCAACAAAGCAGACCATGCTAAAAGCAACCATAACTGTACACTTTAGGCTTTCAGGAATGTATTAGCATGAATTTATTTGAAAACAGGACACCTGAAGGCAGAATTTGGATGTGAGAAGGGTAACAGTGGCTTTTAAAGGGAAATCCGTTAAGCGATGCCCAGAAAAAGAGCTGTGCAATAAAAGAGCCGTGTCAAAGATACCTTGGCTACAGATGGATCAATTTTGATGCTATGACATGATTCAGAGAGATGCTTGTGAAAAAGGGAGAATGGCCCGGTTTTGTGGCTAAACAAGCAACTATTAATGCAGAAATTCATTCTTTTTTATAACTTATTATAATAATATTTTAAATCAAAAGCTGAAAATGCTAGACAAAGGTTTTAATAAAGGTAATTCATAGGCATTGTTTTCCCACTTCAGGCTGTGTTCTGTTCAAGAAATATATATAGAGTATGTATTTTAATCAGCTAATTTCTAAGCTTGATATTTTAGGAACTTTTTTTTTCCCCCATTATTTTGAGCCATGACTGTTTGAGTCTCACTGCAAATTCCTGAGCAGATACTGTCTTTAATACATTTCTGGTTAAGGTATTTTAATTTTTTGGAAAAAAAGAATTGTAATAAGAAAATCAAACTAGGCCTAGTCCAAGTGGAATAAATTTCATGTTTTGTGTTTTTCATCAGGATAGAAGCTTATGTTGTATTTCTCATGGTTAAACTCGGGATTCTGACTTAACGAGGGGTTTTTGTCACATGTAAAATCCTTCACTTCTGCTCAGAATTTTCTGCCTGTTGTTCAGTTCAGGATGAACTATTTCCTTTTGAATGCCAAGAGTTTTGAGTTTAACTCTGAAGTTCCTTCCACACATCTATGTTTTTATGGGTATCAAAAGTAATTTCATTATGTCAATTACTTCTTAAACTAAAAGAGGAAATATAGAAAACTGGCAGAGAACCAAGAATTAATTTCTGCAGTTTTATAGGAAAATGGCCAATAGTTTGTTTCAGTAATTTAAAAACCAGCCGAAGCCCTATGCAGAATCTCATTTTGCTGAGATTCTTTACTAATACTATCAAAACAGAGGCAAAAGAAAAATAATTAAACTTCACTTTCAAATATTACTCTTTGGGAAACTGTCTAAAATTTGAAAGAATGGTATGCTTTTTAATAAAAGTTAAGGTGGCAAGTTTTCTACTTGGGATAAATTCTATGGGTGATTTATGCTGAGAAACTAGCGGTTATTTGCGTAATATTTACAGAGTTCTAGTTAAAGTCTCTGTTTTATTGGTTTCAATAGCACAACAGTTCTATTTCCTAAGGGACATTTGGAAATAGAAAGGTAACCATGAACATTTTTGCTTCTGGGAATTACTCTAAAAAATGCTGCCTAATAGTCACTCGCCACTAAGAAACCTGTTTCTCTCTGTCCTTCGAACTTCAGGCTTGTGAGTGCTCCCTTTCGGCAGCTGAGGCAGACACAGCTGTCGATAACACTGCCGGCTGTTAACTGGGTAAATGTATTCCTTTTTTCTTCAACAGGATACCCTTGAGCTGTGTAACAGAGAAGGGGAATTTAAAAGCATCGTTTTTTCTCCGTGCTATTTTCACACGTGCGTTGCTGGGAGGCTGAAGTTTGGCCCTCAGGGCTGGAATGGAAGGTACCCGTTCAGTGCTAGAGATCTCGCCGTCTGCACCACTGTCCTCTGCAACTATTCAGAGACCCATACGAAGGTAAGAAGTAGTGGGCAGGCAACCACATGCCGAGGTCTTTTCGATGCAATCAGCTGTTTATACTGAATAAGGGGGACACAATTCTTCCCCAAAGCTGTTAAGTAGCTGGTATTATACAATGACGCTGCGAAGTATGAAAATAAACCATATCAGAGGTGTATGGGGTGTTTTTTGTGGGTTTTTTTGTGGCTGTGGATGCTTGAACTTTGTAACATAGGTCAAACCAGTTCCACATCAGTAGCTAAGGGGGAAAAAAATGCCCTTCATTATGTTAACAAAAACAGTGGTTTACATGTGCATATATGCCAAATTCATTAGGCAGGTAATGAAGCATTTGCACAAATGTAATTACATACAGCAATTCTGACAGTTCACAACACTGCATTAATAATCACTACAATTAGTTCTGATGATGGAAGCAATTTACAGCACGTCACATGTATAAATAATGGTGCATTTCCTGCATGTGTCATTATTATGTATTAAGGATGCCACCTTGTTGTGACTTTCTCAGTAGTGTTCCCCTTGAGTCAAAGTTAAGGGTAGATGAGTGATTTTATTTCTGAGCTACAGCGTATTTCACACTTGTGTAGTTTAAATACTCAGTTGAGGTCATTTGCGTAAGTTCCATATATGAAATACCTAAATAATAGCAATAATTAGTTATTACTGAATGATATAGTACTGAATACATCCTTATATACATATTTATAAAGAAAAAAGAGAGGGAAATGTCACCCCTTGATGATACAGTTTTCTCCATATCTCCGAACCTGTATTTACTTTCGATATTAATTTTCCTTTTTTCTTCTTACCCCTGCTGACCTTTATTTAGCTAATAGGACATGAAACTGTTTCTCCTTTCCGTGGTACTTGGTGTCATAGTGAAATAATTGCTTAATTTTATAGTGATGATTTAATAATGCTTCCCATTTAGAAGACGTCTATAAAATCAGCTTATTCCAACCCTTAGTTTTCTTTGCTAATAAATCTTGCTGTTTTAAGCTCTGTTCTTTTCAAACCACAATTCATAAGCTGGATAATTAATTTTGCTAATTAATTAGAGGGAGGATTCTGATCACAGGGAAGACTAGAAAGGTCTGCAAGAGCGAGAATTATTTCTCCTCTCCTCTTGGTAATATTGCTTATATGCCCTTCTCATTGTGTTGGTTAGTGATTCATTACCCTGTGGCTTTATAAGCATTTTTTTAACATGAGTATTGCAGAGTGAAAAGAGATAATAGTTTTTTAAAACGCAAATTGTACATGTATCTACACGTATATGACTCTGTGAGTGTGTATATGTATGCGTGTGTATGGAGTATCCTTTGGCAACAACTTTAAGGCAGTCACGGATTGACTAGAAAGCATAAACTGGGAAACCTGAGCTAGCCCATCAGCTAGTGGAAACTGCCCTAACTCCATCATCAGTTGTACCAGTTTATGGTGCTTCCCCGTCAATATTTAATCCTCTAGCATCTCAGTTTGACTTAACCCATTTTCCTGTTGCTAAGATGAACACCATGCCAACCTCTGATAGCTAAGGTCTCCTCAGGTAAAGTGCAGGATGCCTGTTCCTGCCTTGTTGTCCCGCTCTTCTCCTCCTCCTTCTGATCCCCCTACGCATGTTCATGGAGTTGTCGCTGAATGCTGTGAGGGGGATGTGGACTCCAGCCTTGCCATATCCATCCACTGAACAATGCAACCGCTCAGTGGCTTTTTGAGTACAACAGACCAGTTTTCTATAAAGTACCATGGCAATTATGCAAACTTGACAGCCCAAAATATTTATAAAGCAAACCCCTCAGTTTTCTTAGACTAACAAAAATGTCTCTTTTATATCACAAGCTTTGATTACCTCTGTGTAATCAATGTCCCCAGAAGTATGAAGCTGAATGAGCTTGTACTGAGTTAGAATATCGATATACTCTTCTAAAAGACAAAAGCAAAAGCCATTTCTTGAGATAAATATACACGAAATCAGAAAAACATTAAATGTGTTTCTGTTGCCAACAAAGAGAAAAGCAGGTTTATTCTAGTTGCAAGACTCTTTCGTACTAAGTTGTTGGCGTTTTTCACAGGGATTCTCTGCTCAGGCTTCTCATCACCAGCATGCAGTGTTGCTTATTATATTCTGGTGGCTTTTTTTTTCTTTTTTTCATTCTCTTCAAACCAGTTGAAAAGAAAGATGGATTAGAGTTTCACATACTCCGGTTGAAATAAACTTGTAGCAAGCAGGCTGGCAAAGCTGTAGCTATTTTACGTGTTCTGTTCTGTCACATCATGCAATATTTAAAGCCTATAATTAAGTTTTTATTTGAACTGTTGGGAGGCAAATACTGCCCTCAAGGGTGTAAAGGTTCCTGTCTGGAAAGGCTTCATCACAAACTGGCATATTTTGCAAACCAAAGGGTAGCAGAAAGAAGCTTCAAACTCTGTGAAGCCAAATAAAAGAGAAAGACAGTAGTTCCTTGAATAAAATGTGTTACGACTGTTAATCACACGCTATAACAGTAGCATTATGACTAGAGTTCTACAATAAACATAATGCTTACATGATGTGGAAGTAACGGGATTAATATTAATTCAATTTTTACCGAAGTTCTTGAATACATCCCAAATTTAAATAATGTAGAATTTCAGTTACTGAGTGTTTCCTAGTGAGGAGATATAAAAGACTGCAATCAGATACAAGTTTTTTATTTCTCCTCTGAGAAAGGCACAGTAGGTTACCTTCCTGTCACTCATGAGGATTATGTTTTTAAAGATCTGTATGGGAAAATACATGCACTTGTTAATGAGTTATGTTCTCTTATATCATGCGGTGTTTTGAAAATGTACTTTTCTCTTAAAAGCATTTTATAAGAAAACATGACATAAGGCTCAGATGATACACTTCGCACCATTACTGTGTTTTAGTCACAAACTTGATATTTTTACTCAGATATTTATAGATACCTCTGACTGGATTGAAATAAAATAAATCTGTGTTTCAATGTAGTTACTTTCTAAGCAAACAAAACCCAGCAATGCGAATATATAACCATGAAGCTTTCTAGAAGGAAGTGTTTGAATTTCTTTTGTTTCTCTTCACAGTGTTTATTGTGAACAGCTTGGGTTTGTCCTTTAGAAAGCTGATTTGTTCTATTCAGTGATGCATTCTCTTCCCCAGGGATACGTTCCATGGGAAGACCTGCGTTACCTCTTTGGTGAGATCATGTACGGTGGCCACATCACCGACGCCTGGGACCGCAGGCTCGGCTGTGTATATCTGCAAGAATTCATCAGCCCACCTGTGGTAAGAACTTACATACATGCCTAAAGCTCTTGAACGTATATATAGTACATCCAACCTAAGAGAAAGTCACCTTTCAGAACGGGAGCCTTGTGGGGAAGACCACAAGCTTTCTCATCTGTGTGGCCCCACCTGTAGCAAGGTGTTGTCTGGCTGTGGAGGAATAAATTATCCAACTTGTAATGAGTACAGTGATTCGTCACGTGCAGATTTTGTCTGCGAGGATTTGTGACTTGACATATTGCTTGTTTAAATACTTTTGCAAGCATCCTTACTTGGCAACTTGAATTCCGTGTTTTGTAACACTGCGTGTATAGCCAGGTTAATGGCATCAGGGGATAGTAAAGTTAGGTTTCCATTTACCTAATAAAACTGTTCTCTTTTAAGGTGCTGCATTCAGAAAGTTCTGGGTGAGCATAGGAAAGTATCTTTTATGGAACTGCACCTTAACCAACCTAACTGATAGACTCACCAGTTTTAGCAGTCCAGAATGGTGCTATACTCACAACTTACATTTATTGTTTGTATGTTTTCTTCTCTGGATAAATAACAGAATGGATATGTTATACATTTCCTTGTGTTTTCCCACTTCCAAAATAGTGAAAACAGTTTGCAAGGCTGTTTCTCATTTGCCACCACCCTCTCACACATCTGTTTCTGTAGCTTTATCAGATTATCAACAGCTGATATATATCAAATCATTCAAATTTCACTATTGGGTTTTGGTCCCAGACAGCAGTGTATGTGGAGCATCCACGAGTCCAAGGTGCAAGACTGCTAAAGTTGCTTCTCATCAGAAACAAATATTAGAACTTTTGAGGATACAAAATGTTGCTATAACTTCAGTTCTAAAAAGTCTTGCATGGAAACTACTTTAATGTATTTTCATATACATACATTTATATAAAATGTGTATGTATATATAGGAGAGGGCTCTGTGTGTGTGTATATATATATATATAAAAATAAAAAAAAAACCATCTGGCTGCTTCCTCTAAGCTGCTGACCTAGTCACTTTAGAGAACTGATTGTACACAATTCGCTAAAACAAGCCGAGAGGTTTTTCAAGTGCCCTTTCCAGACTTGTTATTTTTCGTCATCCAAAGGTAAAAAGCTTATTTGGGAGAAGAAAAAAAAAAAAAAGGAAAATTATCATGTTACATGTGAGCAGGCCATTTGTGGAGCCTGGCTAACTTGTGGAAAGTGCACTTTTCACCCTTGGCAATGCAGCTGAAGCCTGCCTTTGGGTTGTGAGCGAGATGAGCTTCCCAGTGTCTCCTCGGTCCCTAATGAGTGGGTTTTCATATGTCAAAGAGCCACACTCAGATGAAGGCAATTGGAAGTAACTGCTCTGAAGAAGATGCCCAAGAGTAAGTTGCCATGGAGATGGAAAGGCTAAACACCACTGTACTCCTGACCTCGTCGGAGGCTGATTTCTCCAAATGACAGCTGAGGTCGCAGGGGCATGGTAGGAAGCTCATCCTGCCAGCTCCGGCTCTGCCTCTAGCCTATGGATAAGTAAAGAATTACTGCTTCCAGTTTAGGCAGTCCATTAACCTTCACAAGCCTGAACTTTCATTCAAATAATTGTAAAATAAGTATAGGTGGTGAAACCTGAGGAGAATCACTGCTATTTGTATGGCCTTTGGAAAGTTTAGGGAGCCAACCCCGAGCACGGATCAGCTGGCATTTTAAACAGTGAGATATCATTTCAAGCTTTTTGCCATAACTGGAAAATGTTGGAGCCCCAAATTACCAGCAAAACCAGAAAATCATTCATTAGCTGTCAGCCAAATGAACACAAACAGGATGGCAACAACTTTCATCAGGGCTGGCGCTTTGTGTTCCCTGGGGAGATTACCTTCTTGTTTACCTGTTCGCATTGCTGATGAGTTCTTTTAGGCATAAGTTCATTCCACAAGGTGCGTTAGAATAAACCACTATACATCAGCTTTTCTATGCCTCACCTGGGATCTGTCGCAAGGACAGAAGGGTGATGAGTGCCTGCTGTGAACCCTCATAAGCTGTGGCCTCCTTCTGCGCACGTGGCTCCCGAGAAGAAAATAAAACCCATTTTAAGTGCCAGCAGAGAGACTGGTAAGTACAGATTGTCTGACAGAATTGATCTTCCGCTCGAGGTGAATAGCAGGGCTTTTTTCAAAACCTCGGCACTACTTCAAAGTGGTGTCTTCAGACATAGCTTATTGTGGGTGAGGTTAGTGGTGCAGGTTCAGGCACAGGTAAATGGCTGGTTGCAGGACAAAAATTACTTCAGAAATAAGCGCTTACTGGTGTTATTGTGAGCAGCAGCTTGTTGTTCACTCTTCTAAATGCCAAAAGCTGTTAAATTTTATTGTGATTCTGTGGAGCGGACCCTGCATTAGGAAGAAATAGCTCTGTGGAAAGTACCACTTAGAGCCAGAAACATTTTTCAGCAAAAACAACTTGCAAATCTGGTTTAAATCCCGGACAGCTCTATGACAAGAAGTTCAGAGAAACTCTTTGAATCCAGTGAAGCCTGTACAGCACAGGAGCTGGGGGAGCCTGGAAAATAAATGTGATTGCTACAACTTTTATTCTGTCCTATCATCAGTAGGAGGGTAGCCCACCAAGAGTACATCTCCTCAAAGCCCTCTGTCTACCTGCTTCATTCTTGACCTGCTCCCAAATCCTGAGCCTTATCTTTAATGTCCTGACAGGGATAGGGCCTGCCTGTTCAATAGGAATGGTGCAGTTAATAGTATGTGACTCAATATTGAGCTGGTTGAGACCTTAATTTTTTCTGCAGTGAAAACTATTGTCACTGTCGGTCTCATTGAGGCCAAAGCAGCAGTGCAAAACCCTGTGCAATATTCCTACATTTGCAGAGATGGAATGGAGTAGCATGTTTTTCCTTTCTGTTCCAGCTCCTGGGTGTCAACAGCCAGGTAAAAGAGAAAGGAAGGGACATCAACACATAAAGAAATGTCCTAACTGGCAAGCATCTTTGTGGAAAGTGGATTGGCATCACTGTTTCTGACAAGGTAAGAATTGCACAAATACTGACGTGTTCTCCCATTTCCATACTCCACTTACTGGCCTCCTTGACCTGTCGCTCCCTGTAACCTCTTTAAGGTTATTATGAGCACAGTGTGTTTGTGCAAAACTGTTAATTAACGACACACCAAGCAGAATTAATGTTGTGGCTCATGTATTATTGGGATGGGGGTTCAGGTGAGTTGAGGCTCCAGTCCTGCCTCTCCCACAGGTGTCCTGTGTGACTCTGTCCTATGTGTCTCAGACTCTCATCTGCAAAATGGCATAATAATCTTTGCTTGTCTACTGAGGCGGTGCAGAAATTCAGTGCTTAAAATACACTCGGCTTGGTAGTCACAGTCCTTAAAATAATAAACTCAGAGCATCCTCATGAAGGAAGCGGCAACAGTATTTCAATAATGCAGAAAATGGGAAGGTCAGAAAAGTGTGCAAATAGTAACCGTGCTAAAAATAGTTTGGTAACCCTGTTCCACTGTTTCAGAACATATAGGTGTCATGTTCATAGACTCCAGACAAATTTCTGAAACTTTGCAGAGGCAGAGGAATGTTTCAGGAACTGGTGACAGCGTTATCAATAACATTGTTGATTCTTTTACTGAAGATTGAAGGGGAACTGGCTCTGGCACCAGGTTTCTTGGCCCCACCAAATCTGGATTATGCTGGATACCATGAATACACAGATGAAATGCTTTCATCCGAAAGCCCTGTACTGCACCCCAATGCTGAGATGGGATACTTGGCAACAGCGTCAGATAATCTCTTCAAAACTCTTTTGGAAATGCAACCCATGAGTTCATTTGTAGGAGAGGGATCAGGCCAGTCTGCAGAGGAAAGGTAAAGTTCTCCATCTGGTGCTTTGTCGGTGCTGTTAATGACATCTGGAGCACACATCTTAGTGTGTTATTTCAGCAAGTGACTTCATTTCTAGGTAAAAAAAAGATGCATCAAATTAGCAGAGATAGCTGAGTGTTAATAGTAATGATGACGGTGCACCAGTTTGTGCAATGTACTGCACTAGGGAGGAATTTGGACCAGAGGAACATCTCTGTTATGCAGACTGGTTCTTTTTCACTTTGAATTTAATATGGGGAGGGAAACAAGGGATGAATCTATCTTGCTTTTTTTCTGTGTTTTTATAAACAAGTACGACAACACTAACTTACTAAAAAAGGTTCCAGTTGCCTGAGTTGGCGAGCCTAGTCTTCACCTCTGTGCTTTGTCCCAGCTCCTGCTTGATAAATCCCCTTTGGGTAGCTTCCCTGCTCCTTCGCGCTTGTGCCGAGCATAGGAGGTCCCTCACAGCCTGTGGTCCTGGCTTCTTTCTGCCGCGTTCACTGTACAGCCTAGCAGTGATGTGTGGGGTCTCCACACCAGGAAGAGCAGCCCAAGCGCAGCGCTCTCCCGCCGCTCCCCTTCCTTGGCCTTTGATCCGAGCAGGAGCCCTGTGGCTGCTCCAAGAGACTTCCCTTGCAAGCAGCAGCTGAGGAGGAGGTTTCCAGGGATTTTTAGTTTTCTGGTATTCTGAAGGGGTAAAATTTGGGCAAGAAGGCTGTCTGACCATCCCTTAGCCTCAGCACCTCTCTTGTACTAAATCTGGAGTTTAGTAGAGCAGTAACAGTAATACCTGTAACCTATCAGATGCTGGGTTGAAGGGACCAACTCTAACACAAAGATAAGCTTTGTCACTTAGTATGGAGTTAACTGGGGCACTGTAGTTCTCTTCACAGTCAAGATATCTCAGATACCCAGATATCTTTGTACGGACAAACTGATCCTAGAAAAAGGTAAAAGGCTGAGTTTTAAAAAAGGAACAGCACTGGTGCTGTGTTTAATAGATTAAAGGATGAACAGGAAAGGAAAATGTAATCAGAAATCTCAGCTAGTTCTGTTATCAGACCCTGCTGTCTTCTGCATCTTTCTTTCCGGTGTAGACCTGAGAAATGTCCAGATGTCCTAAAAAGTGGCATATCATGAGACTGAGCCTTCACCTCCTCATCCTTAGCAGAGTTAATTAAAATCCCCTGTGACTGCCATTCTCGTTCAGCAGCTCTCCATCCGTTTCTTTACTCCCTCCTTTTCCTCTGGGCACTCTTTTTTCTCTTATCATCATGAGATCACGGGGGTTTTGCAGAAGGGAATATGAGAGCTCTGCGTGCAAGCAGCCAAACAACGCTTCATTTCCCAGGGGGACTTGTGCTTTTCATGTTTGGTTTCTGTCCACTTTAGTGAGTGTGGACAATTATATATGGCATTCATCATTCATTCTGCCAAAGCAAGGGCTGAAATGGAGACTGAGCTGCATTAATGTTGTGATTTCTGTTCCTGCTCATTAGGACTGTTATGAATTGGTTTTCATTCGTGTTCTGTCTCAGTTCCAGAACAGGCTTGTGGGGAGGGAGAGGCTCTTTTTGGGGGTGAGACGTGTGTGTGTGTGGTGTGTGTGTGTGGTGTGTGTGTGTGGGGGGGGGCAGTGGAGGGGGAGATAGAAGCTATTAGGTGCTATAGAAATCCAAACTACTAATCAGGCTTGACTGAAAGCCAAGGCAATCTCAGGGTACATCCTTGTAACAGCGGTCATCCTAAACCCAGGGACGGCATGTTGTGGGCTTTGGGGGTCAGAGTTGCTTGAAAATATAAAGCTAAATAGAAGCTACTAAGTGTTAACTGGTTTATAGTCATTTCTCTCAGTACTGTTGCCAAAGAGACAGCAAAGGTGGGGCAGAATCTCTGGTTTTCATCTGCCTGAGAAAATGGGATGTTTGCGCTCTCCTGGAGAATTCAGACTTGAAAGTAGAACAGTCAAAAAGAGTTAACTGCAGTGATTTCTAACGGCTCTGTCTGTATTTGCCTGCTAAGGTTAAGAATGTCCTGGATACTATTCTGGAGATGCTTCCTGAGGAGTTTAATATGGCAGAAATCATGCAGAAGACTACTGCCTAGAGCCCCTCTGCCCTCGTTTGCCTTCAAGAGTGTGAGAGGATGAACCTCCTCCTTTCAGAGATCCGTAGGTCTCTTAAACAGCTGGACCTTGGTCTGAAGGCAAGTGACTTTTATATTAACAATACTATTGCTCTTCTATGTATTTTGGGGCTTTCTGTTGCTTTTTTGAAATGAAAGAATAGCTATTCTTTATGATGCCAGTATGCTTTTTATTGTTCTCCAAACAAAGGGGGACTTGACGTTTTCTCCTCACATGGAAGTGTTGCAGTCCGCACTCTTCTATGATGCTGTGCCAGACACATGGACTAAACTAGCATATCCATCCACATACAGCCTTGCCCACTGGTAAGTACGCCACAGTAACAGGGTTTAGCCACTGTGCGCAGAGCTATTCCAGTGATCTAAAACCAGCAGCTTTGTTCCATTTATTTTTTGTCTAAAATTTGTCTTAATGCAAGTCAGTTTTACTTTGAAGTGAGTTTTGCAGAAATGCTAAGCACTTTGCTAAAGCATGACTTCGTCACCTCTCGTCACAAGTGCTAGGGGTGTTCGGCATCTTTCAGGATTCCTTTTCCCCTAACCTGCCACCAGCAACAGCCACTTGCAGGCTGTTAGATGTGGAAGAAATGGGGACTTTTTTTGGAAATTCCTCTGATACCTCATGGCAATGTGTGCTGCAGTACGCTGTTATTCAGAGTCTCTGTCAGACTCTCTTGTGCTCCTGATTTGTACTGTGCTCTGGACTATGGGAAGTTTAAATGCACCACTGAAGAAGGTATCGGACAATACGCATTTAAGGAGCCATCAACTGTTGTTACCAATTTTTGGCTTTTCTGAAGGAGTGTTGACATGACTAATGATGATGTTCAGGTTTCTCCCCAAGACAAGAAGTTTTACAGCATTGAGCATTCTGTGTTGCCAGCAACCTGTCTCATGCTGATCCCCTTCTACCATTGATTTCGGACATAACTACATCAGGGAAAGAACAAATCCCACTAAAACCATGACCTTATGCCTATGTAAGCATATGCTTTCTGGTTACTTCAGCTGTGTACCTCCTCTGTAGACAAAAGGACTCTTACACTGGAAGTCTGCAATTTATTTTGTCTAACCAAGTAGTACAAACAGATTAAGGCAGAAGCTATTGCTGCTTCTCGTTTAGAGTTACAATCTTCTCATGCGATACGGAGAACTTGAGATCTGGACACAGGACCTTAAGCTGCCAGTAGTGGTGTGGCTTTCTGGCTTGTTCAATCCTCAGTCCTTTTTGACAGGTAAGTGATGGTTGTATGGAACCAGGCATATCCTTTCCCTGCCAGACATTTATTTTTTACCACTGGTGTTAGCTGTTTGTGATGCTATTTGGAGAGCTAAGCACAGTATAAATAAACAGATAAAAAACAGCCAAATATCTAAGCTGAATAGAAAAGTGAAGAACTTACAAAAATGGCAGGAAAACTAAGACCAAAATGTCTTGGGTTTAATCGTGTACTGTCTCTAAAATCTATTTGGCAATAACCTTGCTCTGTAACAGAGACTCCTAGCAGTGAGTTGTCCCATTTTTAAAATCCTCTAGTGCAAATTCTTCTCCTGTAGGTAGACTGACTGGTGTCAGAATAACCACCTCCTGGAAGCAAGGGAAACAACTCAAACACATCTTCAGTCTGCTCAGAAGCGTGAAGACAAAGCAGCTAAGGAAATAAAAGCTGAATTTCATAGTTTAAAAAAACATTAAGAGTGCAAGTTTTCCTGCCATTATTATTTATCATAGAATCATAGAATGCTTTGGGTTGTAAGGGACCTTTAGAGGTCATGTACCCCAGCCCCCCCAGCAGTGAGCAGGGACATCTTCCACTAGATCAGGTTGCTCAGAGCCCCATCAAACTTGACCTTGAATGTTTCCAGGGATGGGGCAGCTACCACCTCTCTGGGCAGCCTGTTCCAGTATTTCACCACCCTCATTGTGAAAAATGTCCTCCTTATATCTAGATTAAATCTACCCTCTTTTAGTTTAAAACCATTTCCCCTTGTCCTATCCCAACAGGCCCTGTTAAGTAGTTTGCCCCATCTGTTTTACAACTCCTTTTTAGGTACTGAAAGGCTGCAATAAGGTTTCCCCAGACCCTTCTCTTCTTCAGGATGAACAGCCCCAACTGTCTAAGCCTTTCCTTGTAGGAGAGGTGTTCCAGCCCTCTGATCATTTTTGTGGCCCTCCTCTGGACCCCCTCCAACAGGTCCATGTATCTCCCCATGCTGAGGGCTCCAGAGCTGGATGCAGGACTCCAGGTGAGGTCTCACCAGAGTGGAGCAGAGGGGCAGAATCCCCTCCTTCGACCTGCTGGCCACACTGCTTTTTATGCAGCCCAGGATATGGTTGGCGCTGTGGGCTGCAAGCACACATTGCTGGGTTATGTCCAGCTCTTCATCCACCAGTACCCCCAAGTCCTTCTCCGCAGGGGCTGGTCTCAATCCCTTCATTCCCCAACCTGTATTCATAGCAGGAGTTGCCCCAGCCCAGGACCCTGCACTTGGCCTTGTTGAACCTTATGAGGTTCACATGTGCCCACTACTCAAGCTTGTCCAGGTCCCTCTGGATGGCATCCCACCCCTCAGGTGTGCTGACCGCTCAGCTTGGTGTCATCTCCAAACTTGCCGAGGGTGCACTCAGTCCCACCGTCTATGTCATTGATGAAGGTATTAAACAGCACCGGTGCCAGTATAGACCCCTGAGGGACACCACTTGTCACCAGTGTCCATCTGGACATTGACCCGTTGACCACTACCCTCTGGATGTGACCATCCAACCAATTACTCATCCACAGAACTGTCCACCCATCAAATCCATATCTCTCCAATTTAGAGAGAAGGATGTTGTGGGGGACAGTGTCAAAGGCCTTACAGAAGTCCAGACAGGCGACATCCGTAGCTGTTCCCTTGTCCACTGATGTAGTCACTCCATCATAGAAGGCCATTAGGTTGGCCAGGCAGGACTTGCCCTTGGTAGAGCCCACTGAATTTAACCAATACAGTGCATATGTCATGGTACCATTCTAGTTTATTCCTTGTTATTAACACAGTTACCAGGCTAAGCAGAAAAAAAAAAAATGTCTATCAGTCCTCTCTGAGCAGTTGTTGCCACAGTAAGTGATGAAAAATCTTCAGCAGTGTATTGATGTCTCACTTCTTGCCATGATCACAGCACACATGCATGTATTTATTCCAAAGACCACACTGAAGCCACATGACAGCCCAATAACAAGGCATCTCAAATTCTGCATGGCCACCAATGGCACTCAGCTAATCCTTCACTAACCTAGCAGAAAGGTGACCAAGACCTCCTCACAGGACACTTAGACCGGGCTGTTGTTCCCTGGAGAAGGTGAGCAGTGGGGGCCCGGGGAGTGTTTTCAGCTCAGGCACTGAAGTGCCTGTCCCTGTACTTGGAAGTAGAGGGGGAGGGAAGGGGCTGGCCAGCAGCTCCTCTTCTCTCTGCTGCTCATGCTGAGGTCCCCAGATCGTGTTCATTTTGTGCCACAGGAATAGAGAACCCCAGCTGTATTTTGCACACCTTAGGCAGCTTGGATAGAGACAGTATCTTCTGGGTACTTGTTCCTGTCACGGGCTGGGGGGCTGTAAGGCCCATGCAGGCCAGAGCAGATGGTGGTCGTTCTGGCTAGGGACACGGCCGGAGAGAAGCAGTGTCCTAGCATGCAGACAGCAGGGCAGTCCTGCTCCCTTGCTTGGGGAGGGGGGGTGGGGTGGTTTGTTCTGTACTGTGCAGAATGTTTTGTTTCCAAATAATTGCATTCATGCAGCTTTTTTGCCTTACTCCAAATGATGGCTAAAGGAAAAAAAACAACCTCCAAACTAAACCCCAGTCAGTCTCAGTCTTGAGCACAACTGGCCCAAGAAGGGCACGTTAACAGTTCTGACATTAAAACTACTGTCTGGAAATATTTTGAATTATTGAAAGTACTACGTTTTAAAGCTGTAATGCAGAGCACGGCGTGCAAGAACAACTGGCCTTTGGATAAGGTTTGCTTGACTGCAGATGTTACCAAAAAGACCGAAAGATGATTATGGCCACCCACCAAGGGAAGGCGCATACATCTTATGGGCTTTTCATGGAAGGTGAGAAATAACCTTAAATTGCTCTAGCTTCCTTCATCAGGCAGGTAAGTTCCATCAGGACCTGGACTAAAGAGTTGTGATGCTATGAACAGCACCAAGGAAGTTTAGGAATGGTGGTGGATTGCTGGTGCTGGTCCACTGTGACCCTAAATTTTGTACCAGCTTGGTGCCCTAATCACGGACTGTACTTCATGCATTAACTGTTAACTGAATCTGAGCAAGGTCTGCACTGTAGTAAAGCAGCAGCTCTCATTTAGTTGAAGTTCAGAAGCTTAAAGACTATTCCAGAGACTTCAAATTTCACCCTAATATCGATCACCTAGAAATTTTCTGCAGCTCTTAGAGGTGCAGAATAGGGTTAGTAGTTACCAGCTGTTGGTAACCTGCATCAAGCCATATACACAGTTGCAGTTTAAACAAACAAATCAACCCCAAACAAACAAACCAAAAACCACAAAAAAAAGCTCTTTTCAAAATCATCTTTCTCCTGTTTTTTCTTCCACCTTGGCAGGAATTTGTCAGTTCTAAATAGATCTAAAGAACTCTAAACGTTTAATTTGCTAGGCCATAATACTTACAGGCCTTTGGGGAGACATAGCAAGAAGCAAGGAAATACTTGAGAACCCCTGTATTAGCATGCGGTATAATGACACGCCTAAGTGGGTGATGCGGAAGTATGACACAAGCAGATTTTTCATCTGGGTTTCCAAGCAGTCAATTATTGCAGCAGCTGTAACAGGGTTGTAGGCTGTCCCTGAATGGAAATCGTGTTCATCTTTTGAGCTGCAACTCCTCTTTTAATAAACATTCAGAGGATGAATAGGGTACTTTGTATTTTCCTGAGACTGAAGCATCTAGTTTAGGAATGACAATTAAGGCCTGCAGTCAAAATAGAATTTTAGTTTTAACTTAGAAAGGCTGTCTACTAAGTTACAGCTGATTAGAGCAAAGGTGAATGGCTCCAACAGGCAATTAAAGAAGCACCATCACTACCTGTACTCTCCACCAGACCCGAATATAATAATAGGAAAGCACCTCTTTTGGAAGGGAGTTGCTACTACAGCCGGTAAGCCCCAAGGGGAAAGTCAAGGTGGGGGACTAGAGCAATGACGAGCAGGTCATTTGACTGTTGGTCTTTGAAAAAGTAGCCTGAATGTTTCAGAGGATTTTTTTTTTTTTAAACATCTGTCACTCAAAGGGCGATACTGTTCCTTCCTCCTCTGGCTATGAGAAAGGTATCAAGGAACACTGTGAGCTGTGGTTTCTGTGTTTGTGTTGGTATTTGCAAATATAAACTTTCCTGTTGCTACATAAACACTCCTAAAATTCACAACAAGCATCTGCAACATTTTGTATGCTAGTTTATGTTAGAAGAACACACAATAAACTTAACAAATTCAGCAGCTTTCAGAAAGTGCACCGCCCTTCAGCAGAACAGAACTCACCTGTCTCAGCTACACTGAAGTACCTGTTTGATATCTCACTATACAAACATTGCTAAATACTCCAGTGTAGTTCTCCACCTTTTGGAATACTTGACCGTAAACTAGTGCAGAATTAGGAGAAAATCTGAGCGCTTGACTTTGCCAGGCACACTCGGCCACAGGCGTACTCAAAGTCCCAAGCGTAAGTAGTTTCCAGTCCCTGCTTTCATGCGTATGAAACCAGAAGTCCAGCCCAGGTAGGTACTGCGCACTCATCTCCACATTCACACAAAGAGATGATGCACAACAGGCCAACAACAGTCTGCACTAAATCTGTATGTTCAAATGTAGCTTTAAGCATTTAGCAATAAGCAACTGTTTAAACCCAAATTATTCTGATCTCGCACTACAGAACACCATGTACACTATGTGCCTATGTTTACTGCAGGCGCTAGGTGGGATGTCCAGCTGGGGACCACAGCCGAAGCCCGGCTCAAGGAACTGACTCCAGCAATGCCAGTCATTTTTGTAAGGGCTATTCCAGTGGATCAAAGGGAAACTAACAATATTTATGAATGTCCAGCTTATAAAACCAAAAGCAGAGCACCAATTTATGTTTGGACTTTCAATCTGCAAAGCCAGGAAAAGCCAGCTAAATGGGTTCTGGCAGTAGCTTTACTCTTGGCAGTTTAGTACTAAGCTTTCAAATAGCACATGCTGCTTTCTCAGTCTGCCTTGTAGTTAAAGCAAAAGGACATAAATATTTTTCACAGTCAGCTGGAGCAGGAGATTTGCCTCACAAAAACACAATCCTTAGTGTAACATTTATGTGCTCTATGTTGTTATTTCCTCATCTGTCAGTGTTGTGTTCATGTGTTTCTCTACATAATGATTATTGATCTGCAAGCATTTCTTCATTACACCAGCTATGGGAAAGTAAATGGGAACCATCAGCACCTGGGTGTAGTTTGACTCACAACATACTCCTCTTGATTATTCTTTATTCTCTCTACATAAAATGAAACATGTATCTTACAAGAATTTTAACATAATCATACTGCAATACAAACTTGTTGCATTTAAACAAAGTTGTTTGAAAGCTTGCTTGTACATATGAAAAAACATCTAAGTATGAACTGTATAAAAAAAAAATTCTGAACTTTGTGATTTAAACCAGTTAACTAGTTACAATTGTTGTAAGGTAGTTGGTTCAGGCAGGAGGTGCATCACACAAAAACTGCTGGTGAGCAATTTTTTTTTTTTTTTTTTTACAAAACAATCTTCCACTTACATGTTTCATTGATTAATTGCACTTTGGAATAAAAAAAAAAAAAAATCCTCCTCCCACTGGTAGATGGCATCAGCTTTGGCTGGAAGATAACGGCATTCAGATGAAAATACCCTTCCCTTCTTTGCAGGGACAAGTTCCACAAACTAGAGGAACAGGTTCAGAAAGCAAGTGTTGGAAAACTGAATCTTTATGGTCAGGTTGGAACACAAGGGTTTGTTTTGTTGGGTTTTTTTTTGTAAACGGTATGCTTGACAGGTAGTTGTTAAACACCCTTTCTGCAAACTTGTACAATTATATAAATAAACATATTGCTTAAATTGACCAAGTTCTCCATCATGTGGTTGCGTAGCTCTACTAAAAAATTAACAACTCGAGGTTCAAGAGTGCCATTTCACTTAAGGTATAAGGTCTGTGCATGTAGATTTCTCTACCAAAACATTTTCCTGAGAGATCTTTTGCATAAGACCACATCAATCAAAAAGTTCCCAACACAGAAATGCATATACTATAATCTACTATTCTATCTTATATAAAACATAATAACAACCTTTTGAAGTCAAAACTTGTCAACATATCACCCAGTTGCAGGCACAGCTTGAGTTCAGCGTTCTCAATTGTCATCTGCCAGTTGTTTTTGTAAACTAGAAGACATGAGAAAACAGTGTTAGCGCTTTTTAGGAAACTCGGGCTCCCCATAAACAGACCATTTCCATTTCTGAAGATGACAACTTCCAAAACAGCACTTCTATAAACCTGAAGCAATCAATACTGTTTTCAAAATAAGGAAAAGGATTTCAATTTCTTAAGCAAATGAGTGGTTTACAGACAATATGACTCACTTCAATAAAGCTGATTTCAGCCTAGGAGAAATCTCAAGTCCAAGAGACTTCTTTTGCACAGCCCCAGGATTCGTCCCAGGCCACAGATGTCAAGTATTATTTAAAGGGCTACAACAGTTTAAAAATGAACGACCGCAGGGCACAGCCCTCACCTTTCCAGGTACTCCTTTACGTTGTCGTAGCCGTAGAACTTGGCCAAGTGGATGAGCATGCCCGTGGCACAGCGCCCGTCCTGCCTGCGGCAGTAGCTGCAGTTGCACACCCCGCGACACGGAGGGCAGATCCAGGCCTGCAAGGGGGTGAATGGGGGGAGGGGTGTAAAGGCAAGCCAGGAGTAAGCCTATATTCACCTTCCCATTGCTCAGACAGAGTATGGCTTCCTTACTGTGTGACTGTTCAGGGCAAGGCTTTGAGAGCCTGCATCATCCAGCCAACCAACCCTGTTAACACTTTCCGAATTCTGCAGGATTAAACAAATGTTTAAGTACTACCCTGTTTGCTTGAATACTTCTTACTCTGAAGACTCAGGCTCTCTGATTTGTTCAGTATGAATTTAAAATAGACTCAGGGCACCTGTAATGCCTAACGATGAGGCAGCCCACGTTAGGCTGACCATAGTGAACTCCCTAGAAAAAGATGGGTACCCACTGCGACAAGCTTCATCGGCTCTGCCTGCCAGCATAGCCCGGTTCCTGAGACTGAATTACCCAGCATGTACATGAAGGCAGACGTCTCTCAGCTGCTCAACAACTGAACACAGCCTGCACGACACTATAGCAGCCATTGCCACACTGGGCCAGCGCATCAGAGCCGTTAGTTCTTCGCCGTCCTTCAGAAGAGCCCAATCTCTAAAGCAGAGGTGGGGCAGAGGAGGTCCCAGAACAAGCTGAGCACAGAGCGAGCTATTCTGCCGCCGGGTCTCTGCGTGGCCACGTGCCTCATTCTCTGGCAGCAGCCTGCACTCTCTCCCTGCCCAGTGCCTCAGGGGATAACAGAGGAAAGGGAACCAGCCCTAAGACTTTAAGGTATCTTTCTTTCTTTCTCATATTTAAAAATTAGACTCTAGAACAAGGAACCTGCTTTGCATGCCACGTTCCAGAGAGTATTAAGAAAGGGTACATTTTGGCATTTTTCTGAAAGGGGACAGACTCCTTTTCTTAAAAGCTTTCACACTTTCCCTCCACTACCTGGTAAGCAAGTGGAGCTTCAAAGCACAAGGCTAGACGGATTGTAACCCAGGTCCAGCACCTTCCACTTGAGTTCCAACAAGATCAGTGTCAATCGTAACAGTATTACAGATCTTCTCGGCTGACAAAAAGCTTTGAACACCATGTTATCACAAGCATATACTCATCACGGCATACTAACAACACCATATTCATTACACTTTCTTTCCAAGCCCAAGAAACAGCCCAAGACACTTACTCGATCAAGCAGTGCTGATTTCACATCTTCCCCGTATCGATTTCGAAGACATGGGCCACAGAACTGCCCCCTTACTCCTCCACAGTTCTGGCTGCGACAGATTGTCTTTGTATCAAGTGTCTTTTGTCGACACTGGTGGCAAGTACTACCCTAAAGTTGAAAAGGAAGAGAAATACATGTGTATGAAGGACATTTTAAATGCTTGTTGCTGAACCTTTCTAATGTATCTGCTGATAGCAATGCACGAACTTCAAACCAAAGTAATATTCAGTAATGAAAGTCTTAGTAAGAACCATAAGTACTGTTATTATGATAAATCATACAGTTATCTGGAGAGATGCTAGGGATTTTACAGAGACAGTGCCCAGCCTCAATTGCACTGGGAGTTTCAAACTACATGAATTTCACGTCGCAGCTCTGATCCTTCCCTCTATCTAGCAAAAAGCTAAAACTTCAGAAAATGACCTTGTGACTCATCGCTGCAAATACAATAAGGCATGAAACATACAGTAAGCTGATCATCTAGATCTTTATGACAATTAATAATAAGCAAATCCAATGAAGGAAAGGAGGAGGCATTCCCTCAAGAGCTTTGGAAATATCCAACACATACAGAAATGTCATTTCCAGAGGGTACAAGGAGCAGCAGAGATCACGATTATTTAATGGTACAACCACCACCACATTTATATTAAGTGAGAATGAGAGAGAACAGGGATGTCAAGTCCTATCAGTAGTGAGTCATAGCTATAGCAAATTCCACTTAATAGCTCTATGGCAAGAAAGCACTTCTTTGCAGAGGCAAAAAGTTGGTGGGGCGTATCAACCAGCATGGGTAAGCCCACGGAAGCCTGGCAAAGCTTTCAAAGTTCTGCTTGTGTCCTACAATAACACAGAGCTGCACCCTCCAGAACCTCAGGAAAGCAAACCTTTTGGCAAACACTAGATGACCTGCTAAGAGACTTTCAATTTCAAGTGAATAGACAGAACAGAGAAAACAGCAGCCACTTACTAGAACTTTGTCATAGATTTTGTCTTTAACAGTGATTGCAATGTTGTCCAAGTCCTCCTCAGTAATATCCTCTACTGGACGCTGAGATGAATACTTTGATGATCTCCTCCTCCTTTTGCGCACTCCACAATTCCCCTGCTAAACAAACTCATCTCAACACCTGCTGTCTGGTGTTATGAAGACTCTGTCACCACAATTGGTGACAAATTCTTTCATTTATAATGCATATGCAGTCTAGAGGGGGCAGACTACAGGCACATGGACCACTGGAAGAACAGGGAATAGTTTCCAAATCATCACCGCCTCTTTCTCTCCCTTTCCTCCCTAACCTTTTCTCTACTCCATTTCTTATTTATTCTGTTCATATGTTCTTCCTTCCCATCATTGCTACTTCTGTTTCCACAAATTTCTAACATGTTTTTTTGCTATCTCCTTTTCTTTGCATTGCCTGCACACCTCCACTGTAACTCTCCATACTCCATTTCTTCCCTCTCAAAATAAGGCACTATAATCATCTGCCTTCCCATGCTTTGCTCCTTCAACCTCCTCACATGCTCTCTAACTGCTTTCTCCAATGACAGTCTCTAATGTCCTGCAAAAAAGCCTTTACTCAAGTTTTAGGTTAGTCCTGCCATATGCAGCTCTTTCTTATTATCGTGTTTGTTGTGTGGAAGAGAATCCCCTGCTCACTATTAAGTGCTCTTTTTATCCTTCCAAAAATCATTCTCTTTGACCCCAAATCATGGATCTTCACTATGCCCCTCAGGAGATTTCAAACTTCACGTACATGTCTTATCTGGTCCTTAACCTTCCCCCTACACCACTCTTAACACTTAATTTGTCCTTCACACTAGATGAGCTCTATTCTCTCTATTCAGTGCTACTCCACCTTTTTTAATAGCCAAGGTCCCTCTATAATGCTTCAGCTATGCTCAGCACTCATTCCTACAAGCAGAACCGGGATCCAGCCCATGCAGATGCAACCTTAGACAGTCGTCTTTATAAAGGCCATACAATAAATATAACCAAGACAAATGACCACAATAAGCTAAGGGAAGGAAAAAACATTTAAAAAAAAAATGGGGAAGAATAAAACTGCAACGGTTGAATGGCCAGCCAGTACGTCAGCAGTTTGTTGGTGCAGATTCCCTTCATTCATTCTCACTTCAGCTATATAACTCCTATCTTCCCTCTGCTATTTCCAGAGAAGGGTTTCCGCTAATTTTTTCTGAGTCTGAAGATAGAGATCTGCTTTGTCACCTCCATCAGCTCCACTGCCTTGCCACTCGAACGCCTTCTACATTGTGGGCTCTAGTAATTTTTGGATAATTAATAAGTAACAGATCATAAGTAAACTGCCTTGTTACGTTTGGACAGCACAGGTCACAATCAGAGCTCAGTTAACTGGTGAAAGATGAGGCAGGGAGGCCTGAAGATAACTTCTTCTGTAGCTAATCCCAATCAAAGGTTCCCATTAACTTTCTGTAGGATTTGATATCTGCTCTAAGTGCTGGCCAACAATTTAAATGTTTCCTAATTCCTGACTACTGGAGATATCAAAGTCTGGCAAATACCACACTGAGTCTCTTCTTCAAGAGGTTTTGCTGTCTGTAGCTACGGAATTGTTCTGCAAATTTGACAGCCGACACAGTAAATTTTTCCAAGGCAAATTTTTGTGGTGGACGAGCATTTCTGGTTGGGTTCATGCGACGTTCTATCTGGCCTTCAGAAAATGTCCTCCGCGGGATTTTCCTCTGTTTCTAGAAAGAGAAGAAGATTCCAGTAACTGTCCTTTCAGTTATGTTTGTAGCGTTAAACACCAGAAATTATCTGAAAATGTCTGTACCACACTTGTACTATCATAAACTAATGTGGTCTTGTCCCACTCCTTATTTGTTAAGCCAAACCTCACCAATCTCTAGCAGTCTAAAGTGTTCTCCATATACGCTATACCTTTTTGCTCCTTTTAAAACACCACACCTCCACCGTCAAATTCTATTCCAATTAACATCACAGAACTATACCAAAATTTTATGTATGGCATATTAAGGTAGAAGCTAGCTACTGAAGAATAGTGAGAGCTAAGTGTTCAGTTTTTCTCACAATCTGAATACAACTCCAAGGAATAATCCAAATTCTAAGTTATTTTCTTTTATATTTTTTTAAACTGAAAGGACATTAATAAGCTGCTTCTCCTACTTCCAGATTCCTAAGACCTGGAAATTACTAGCAGGTACAAGATACCCTATTCATATTGTCACACCTGCCAATTACTGCATGATGGAATTCATGCAACAGAAGTCCTGCATGGACACCTACCATAGAGGCAGCTACTAAATCTGACAGTAAAAACAAGATGTAGGAAGCAAGTCCGCTTGCTACCAAACACTTCGCTTATTTCATTTGAAAAAAATGAAAGGCACGTTACAAGGAGACAGGCTGGAAGTCAAAAACCAAGCAGATGAGGTAACTAGAATACCCCTGATGCCCTCTCCCTTCCTCAACCAAAGATACTAAATAAAAGTAACAATGTATCTATTCAAAGAATGTTTAAGTTTCTACAGCATTTAAGAGAGCTAGCAAGGTTCCAGCCTTTCAAAGACTATAATTTGGCTTCACCTTTTCACCTGACAACGACCACACCAGCCTTTCTACATGGGCCTCCCAAAGATATGGCCCTACAATTTTTCCTCATATCTCTCCAGCTGATAATATATGTGGAAAAACATTATTCTATAGAGAACCTAGAGGGGTTGACAGTTCTCTGCTTTTAGCCGAGAAAAGTCAGTTGAAATAACTACAGCACCATTATGGGCTCATGTTGAAGGGGTTGAATTTCATCAGCATAGCTCTACTAGAAGGGTGGATTTTAAAAGAAAAGCCTGCAAGAGGGAAATTAACAGGATCTAAACCCAAAGGAAACAAATTACTCTTCCTTATTCCCACACACACAGACATTTGTCTGGCATCTCAACAGTATTTCTGGGGCAAAAATGATAAAGAAGCCTCTCACCTTGGTCTCTACATTTCTTTGTAAATTATCTTATAAAATTCCCTTTCCTCACATAACCTCTGGTATTTAAATACTGACCAATAGCAAATCCATACAAATAAAGTGACCAAAACCAAAGAAAACCAGAACAAACTTGGTGGAAGCATTTCATCAGGAACCACATTAATCCTAAGTCCAGCAAAAATGATTGTCACCTCCAGCCAGTACCGGAGACTTACCGAAGGAGTCGAGGTGGGCATTTTCACTGGGAACGGGTCCGGTATGGAATTCAGTTCCGCCAGCAACCGGGCAAGCTGAAATCAACAGTGATGCTGCACTGAAAAATCACTGCAAATTTGCAAATAAGCAACACCTATCCTGCACTCTTCACATGCACTCCAAATTCTATCTAAACACATGAAGTTTCAGTGCACGAAACCTTTCTGGAGGCATTTTATTTTAGTGGGGCTCACAAAAGGGGTTCATTTACCCCTGAATGAGCAAAACTGCAGGCAGTACTAATTTCACAGCTCCCATTATTTCTTACTGGGAACTGGAATTAGCTAGAGTTACGTCCAATCTTGTTGAAACAGCACTAAAGTAGTGCATTACAACGTGGTTACGCTATCTATGACCAATAACAAGAACTTCACTGTTCATACGACAGGAGGGAGAAAAGGAAGACAGGGATCCCTTGGCCAGAAGGCTGCAAGATATTCCCTGTGAGCTATTTTACTGAACGACTGCTGATACACCTGTGCTTTCTGCCAGGGAACTCTTAGAGTGTCCCCTTAAGCAGTGACATTGAAGCAGGGAAATCTGGCTTGTCGTTTTCCAGTGGCCCTTAGTAGCAACGACCGGGAACATCCCTTTTCCAATCATGACAGGTAGTGCTGATTTCACAAACGCTGCAAACCACAGCCAGCAATGCTACACACCAGTTGCTTTGTGCAGATACATGCAGCCACACGGGTACACGCTCATTTGCAAAGTCGTAAAACCACTGAGCCCCGCCAGCGGCTCCCCTAACGATGGCATATGCAGTACCAGAAACACTTCAGCAGGACAATCTGTTGCATCGTGTAGGAGATGTCCTGGAGGTATACTTCAACAGAAGCAGTGGCTGACAGGTCCAAAAAAATACTGACCTGTTCTAGAAGGCCAGGGTGAGGCTGTCTTCTGAAAAGCCAGCAACAGCCGGGATGAGCCAGGCTGCTAGCCTGTCTCTGAGACCACCACACCAATCACGAGATTAAAAGCTGGATACAGCACTTCTCAGTAAATACTTCAGTGTGGTGTTTATTAAGAGCTATTTAATGTCATTACAGTACCGCAACTAGGATGCCAGTGAATTTCGCAATGGTTGAACTAGAAGGAAGAGTGGAAGGTGAGAAGGGTGGAAAAGCAGCAACACCAAGACAACAGCCGTGAGGATACAAGACAGATTAGAAACACAGGACAAAACTAAAGCAAGTTTTTAAGTGACAGCTGCAAGCTCACACACCCAAGAGGTGTACTTGAGCCCCAAGACCACTTGGAAGCTGCAACTTTTCCTGGAATACAGTAAAACTGAAGGAGCCACTGAGGACCCAGCATTAACTTGGATTTGCATGGCAGTATGATAATTAGAGCTGGTGGCATTTTTGGACAACAGAGAAAAAAGCGTTAGGGAATGACCAGTGTCTCTCTCTTCCGCATCTACACCCACACCAACACACTTTCAGTAGTTATATGGCAAAGCGTAACTGTAAACATCATATCCCACACGACTGAAAAGTTACGTTTATCATCCTTGGCAGTTTTTAGCTGGCTTTCCAATTAACTGCAGGAGATCTGTTAGACATGAAAAGCAGAAACTCCACTGTGCAAATGACACCACGAACCACCTGAAGGGATCAGCTGGTTCTCTGACACGTTCTGAATATAAGACTGCAACTTGGGAATCTGTAACTTTGTTCACATCCACATACAAAATGCTTGGTTCAACTCTGGTTTTAAACTTGAGCAGGCTAGTCCTACTTGAGGCTATTTTAGGGGTAGAAGTCTGAGTTCCAATGGTCCCCTAGGGTTTTCCCAGGTAGAAAAATTCAAACACAAACTACCATGAGATTTTCCCAAAGTCCCAGCACAGTAGCAGCAGGGACCCCAAGATTCAAGTGTGCTGAAGCTAAGTACTCAGATGTAAATGTCAGAGAACAAAGCACTGCTCGTAAGTCTTACCATGGCTTTATTTTCTTTAATATTCATGGCTCTCTTAAGCAGAGCACTGGAACTTTCCTCCTGTGTTTCTTTAATGTCTTCTTCAGACTCTGAAGCAGAGCCCTCTAGCTCGTCCCACCGCTTGCAGCTTACTTCATTTGAAAGAGGTGCGAGGGATTCACTGTTCTTTAGAGGTAAGTTAGAAAAGGCCTGTTCAGGCACACTTTTCTCTGACGACCTTCTGGTGGGAAACTGCAAGGCAACACGAAGGCCAAAGCTTCTTCTCTTGGGGGAAACTTTCTTCTTCACCTCTTCCTCCTCTTCTTCCTCACTACCCAATAAATTATTGCGTTCTTCATCACTCAAGGCCGACTCCATTGCCTAGAGGCAGGAAGAATCCCACGTTAGATTACAGGCCATGACACAAGAAAGGCCATTTTTAAGTCACGAATTCTAGGCAGCAGTCTCACCACCCAAACGCGCTGTCATAAATCCACCTAATCCAACAAATTTTTAAAAGCTCACAGTACACGACTCTTTCAC